AGTTGCTGCAAATAATTTAGAAAAAATTGAAACTGAAAATAGTATTAATTCCTTTGGGAAGCTTAACTTTGACAGAGTTCGCCCAAAGGGGCGACCCAAGGTAAAGCAAAATTTTACCCTGAAAAGAAAAAGATAGCTGCCCCAACAATTTTACACTACTTGTATAAAATAAATATGTGAATGTTTGTAAATAAATGGCTGTCGCTATTCAAACCCGGGTTCAATAGACCAATGCTATTCGGATGTCATTTGTGGTAATTTATTTAAGTTAATGTTCCTTTAGTTAAACTGAAGAATTAAGTTTACAAACATATAGTCCATTCAATTATCTTTCATTTGATACCAAATTTTGTCTTTCAACCTAACAATAATTTTTTGGGACGTGTTCATGATGTATGCATCAATGTTGTTTCAGTGTCTTTTTCAGCTTTTATAGATATAGCATTTTCATTATATTTTTTTCTGACATCAATTGATGAATCAGGAGGAATAGTTTTGGAACTACATAATTGAAACTTTGCATGCTTATTTAAATTGAGATTCTTTACTTTATGATGGATTGTTTTTAAACAAATGTCTCATAGGAAAAGTTTTCAGAGAATGTTTGTGTTTATGCATTTTATTTATTAGGTTCGTGTGTTAATTTTTTTTCCTATCTTTTCTGTCTTAGTTTTCTAATTGTTTTTTAAATCATGAAGGATAAAAAAAAAAACTTCAGTGGATTTTTGTCCTTCTGTTTGTGTATGGTTTGTACTATATTTTTTTCAATGGCTCTATTTATTTAGGTTATCAGTATTTAAATTTCAATGTGGCATGACTTTGTCGTCTTAGTTGCCTTGAAACCAAACTCCCTTCACAGATCACAGATATTTGCTCCCACTCAATCATTACTTCTGTACTTAGATAATGAAATACAAACAATAAACTATACGGGTACCAACAAGGAAGATGAGAAAGTAAAAGGAGACAAATGGCAAAGGAATGATGTGACCTAAATGAATGAGTTTATTGGCTGCCTACTCTATATTATAGATTACTGGAGTACACAACTCAAATAAGAAACAGCCAAACAAAAATGTTCTCAAGCCAGATAAGGGTGTTTTTTTTATTAAATTTTAAATTATGTACCAGTGTGTTAGACCCAGTAGACAGGTATGGTAAAACTAAAACAAAAAAGGCTAGTCCTCCAAAAATAAATCTCTTTGTCATTTTTTTATGCAATAGCATCCTTTATGATGTTCATTCCAACTACCTTGTGAATTGGGTCAAGTATGAGAAAGATTGTTGAAAGGAGATTTGAGATATCAGGAAAAACAGTCAGGGTCCACATGTTTGACTCCAAGTGCCAAGGAAAAAGTTTAAAATTGGTGGTTTTGTTCTGACTAAGCCAAGCTCTCTAGAGGAATAGTTGAAATTAATTCATTATGAATTAAATTTTCATTATTTAGAATACCTACTTAAATCATAAAGTACTGTGTGATTAAATCTTTTAACTTAAACAATACACAAAAATAATCTTAAATAAAGGATTTAATTTTAATAATTAAATTAATATTATTACTTTTCTAAATTATGTTCATTACTAGATTTTTTTTAAAAATATTAATCTACGAAAATGGCTTAAACTAAAAAAAAGAAAATAAGAAAGAAAAAAAATCTACCGGTACTAAGAGAAATTAACAAAGCAAAAATTTAAAAAAAAAAACAACTAAAAATAATAAAACTATGAATCAATGAAATAAACAAGGAGAAAAAACAATTTAAAAAAATAACTCTCATACTATTATTGTTATCACACACGGCTCCGAAGCCATTTAATATGTACGGAGCCACTCCGGGTGCGAATAGTCATTGGCGACCATGGGTACCTATAGATGCAGCATTAGCCTTTTCTTAAGTATCATATTTCAATGTAGGTTGGAAAAAAATGGGGGGGGGGGGGGGCGAAAAAGTGCGTGACCTGCTTGTGTTAACCACAAAATGTGGATGTTACTAAAAATAGTAACATTGCTTTTATTTTTTATTTACACTATTTTGAGGGATAGCCACTTAATAAATGAATTTTCAACATTCACAAACAAAAAATAATAAGAAAAGGTTTCCATCACTAAAGATCTATACATTTTTATTTTATGAGTTTTGAAATCTGATCATTCAAATCGTACATGAACGGCATAACTATTTAAGAGGAAATGAGTTGCTTAAATGAGACATTACATATTTATTAAAGGAAATCGTATTCTAGCGAAGTATATATTTCCCAATATTTAGTTGGTTGAAGTGTTAATTTGTAATTTCAAAATACTATAACTTTTTTTTCAGATAAATTACAAAGTGGTTCTTCGATATAATATTTTAAAACACATCTCTTAAAACCAAATTCACAGAATTTAGTTTAAATTGAACAAATTAGGAGTAAGATATTTGTCTAAAACTAGTAACAACAATTTTTAAAAATATAATTTTTTTTTAACATGATCATCGAAATGCTAGTTAACAATTTTTTAATTTTTTTTTTTTTAAATTTTTAGGTAGATATCTATCTAGAAAAAAATATATTAAAAAATCAGTGCAAATTGGTGGGGCATAATAAATATAGGCTACGTATTTTTTAACCTCTGTTTAAGAAAACGCAAATACTCTTGATATAACAAAAATAGTTGATGAAATTAGCACTTTTTGTTTGCGACCAGTACATTCTTTATTTTTTTATTATTTTTTTTTTAAAATCTGTTTTTTTTCTTTCCACTTTGTATAACTCAATACACATTGCGTCGACTAAATTAAAGTTAAAGTTATGCAAATTAAAAGATTATTTAAAGAATAATTCCCTCAGACAATGTATAATTTATAATTAAATTAGATCTAACAACCTATCCATACTTTAAAAGTCATGCTTTTATGATGAAATATAATTTGAAAATAGATTGCGCATGTTTGATACTTAGCAAGAACTATTATTAAAATTATAGACCTTGATAAACTTGATATTGATATAAAGGTAATTAAATACAGTGTTATTTAAATCTTTAAACTTGTGATGTTGCCACAAAGAGATGAATTAAAATACCGATATATGCGAACTACGGGAAGTAAACTTTGGCGCGGCCAGTGCAATATTTATTATTTATCTACACGCCTTTAACAAGATTAGACTTAAATATGCTGATCATCAAATATATCAAGCGTAGCGATATTTCATGTATTCCATTAATTGTAATCGGTAAAAGGCACCAGATGTTATTTTTTTAAACTGTTTAAAAAAGAAAATTTAGTCGTTTTTAATTTTAAAAAAAAAGTATTTAATCTTTATAGTGTTGTGCACATTTTGCTGGGGGGGGGGACACTTAACTTTCCCCGGGAGTAGCCCCCTGCCCCCCCCCCCCTCCCGGGAATATGCCTGAAAGAAACCCTGGTTTCTCTAAGAACCATAACACCATAATTAGTGCAGAATGCCCTGACATTGTCGTAGGCAACACTTACAAGCGATCCCTGGTCTTGTAAGTTCTTGTCGAGTGTATTAAGCTCCTTAAGCTCCTGTGTAATGTCAACAAGAAGAGCCAAGTCTATGAGCCATTTGGGATCACTTTGCACTCGAATAACCACCCCATCCTTCACCATGAAGGCTTTAAACTTAAATGCTAAAACGTGTTCAAACATTTTCGATGTATGGAGAATGTATGCGTGAACTAATTCCAAAATATATAGGCTACATATTTCAGTTTCTGCTTCGGTCGAAAGTCTCGTTAAACTTTTGGTTTCGGCCGAAAGTCTCATTAAGCTTTTTTTTAACTTTCGGCCTGGATTCGACCGAAATCAGAAAATCACTTTCTGTCGATCTCTGGTTGATTTTTTAATATAATTTTTTTTTTTTAAAATTGACAGCTATAACAGCAATGACCGAGGGGCAACATATGACGTTGTAATAGAAATGAATGAGGCTCACTCTTCAGGGTTCGTGTAACAACTGCCTTTATTTTGACCTTCTACAACCATACTTCTACATAAAAGATCACTCATTCCAGATTTTCATGCATTTACGTTCAAAAACTTTCATGAATAAAAACAACTCATGACGTCCAGTCATACTGTCACAGACGTGTCCCATCATTATGACTAGTAAAACCCAGATGACCATGGCGTATTGTAAAATCCTATCGTCCGGAATGAAACGTCAACGGCCCCGCACCCCCTCCGTCTGCCCTGCGCAACCCCACAGACATCTGAATATAGTGAATTTTTTAGAACCATTAAAAGCAACCTTTTACATATCTGAATGGAAACTACGAATGGTTTCACCATAATTACGAAAACTATAAATGTAATATTACGTCAAATGGCAAAGAATTGACTAAAATCAGACAGGTCTATTTTTATTTATTCATTCCTTTATAACTCATAACTGTTCGAGTCAATATGTTTGGTGTTATCGGCAGATTGAAAATTCGCATGGCATGCTTTTACAAAAAATGCTTATTTTTAAAAAAAATAAATGTCTTATTAATAAGCAGTACCTAAAATTTTAAGATTACTATTATTGTCTATAATAAATAATATGTATTGACATTGATTTGAAATGATGTTTAAAACATTGTTTTCGTTCTATTGAAACTCTGTGTAATATTTTGAATCACTTAGACTTATGTATTTTTAAATAAAAATATTCGAAAAAAACTAAATGTTCAAGAGATCAAAAATCTTCAAAATAGGCCAACTACACTATTGATATGCTAATTGATTTTTTTTAAAAATTTAAGTGCAGAAATATCGATCCCAATCATTATTCTCTAATGCATCTCTCATTTCGGTCTGAAGAGGTTGACAAATTAAAAATAATATATATTTTTAATTGAAATCCTATAGGTTAAATAATTTTCTTTATTAAGAAATTTTTTTTTAATAAATTAGACTATGTACTATGTGATCTTCAGTTTTTACTGCACATTTTCTTGTACGGACCGTCTCCGAAAATAAGCAACCTTTGACCCTTATTTCAACCCAAACTCAGGTCAGTGTTCAATGAACCCTTAGCCTTAGTAGTAATAGCATTACGGTCATTGCTATTGAGTGGTAAACATATGAAAATTGCCCACGACTTTTCTATTCCATAATGAACACATTCGCACAATTGAAATGTGCATACAGGATTTCGTTTTTAAAAGTTAGTTTAGTCCAAACAATAGACCAATATCATACTCAATATCAATAAGTGAGATTAATTACGCCCCTACCTATCACTATCTCTATTAATTATATTCATTATCATTAATTTTTATATTAAGTTTAAGTGATGTCGATGTTAATATTATAAAGTTACGAAGTGGCTATTCAGTGTTGAAATGTTTTCTAAATAACTATTTAAATTTAATGAATTAAAATTGCGTCTATTTATTAATTTATAAGTATTTAAAATTTAGTATTGCCTCGTGCCTTCCCACCCCCAGTTCTTGAGTCTTGATACCCTCGCTGAGTAGCCCTTGCAACCAGTGAAATATCTTTTATTATATAATTTATAATTATTCTAAATACTATTCAGAAATACCAGGCACAGAAACATCATGGATTCCCCTCTACATGAAAAAGAGCCAGAATGATCAGGGCCATCATGATATAGAAATAGAAAAAGAATTATTTCAATTATATTCCTTATTTTTATTAATCATCATTTAATATTGAACTTTCTTACTTAGATTTAGGCGGTCTTAGGAACCATGACCATAACAGTAATCATTTTAAAAAAGATTTAAAATTAGACACCTTTCCCACAAATTATACCTAATGTTCACATAGATGACATTCATATTAATTTATGTAGTACTGGTATATTTAAAGCAAAAATAAACTTTTGTCTTTTCATAACCCCTCCTTCTTGCTACCAGGGCCTTGTGATCATATTATGGAAAAATTGACTGGTTGAATCCGTTTGGTTGGGAGCCAACAATTTTTTAAAAAATTTTCTGAGCCACCCTGGGGGCCAAAACTTATTTGATGATCAGACTTTTCCTGGAATTTCCTTTTTTTAAACAGTTCTTTGTTCCAAAACACCCGGATTGACTCGGATGACTGGTCACGCTGGACAGAAAAGCCAGAAAAATATGGACGTTCCAGGAAAAAACATCAATCTGGTTTTCGGCCTCCATGGTGGCTCCTAAAATAAAAAAATAATAAAACCGGTTCTACCTGTAAAGTTTTCCGGAATCTGATACCGGTATGGCATCTTTAGAAAGCCCAGGCTGCCATATTTGGTTGTGGCATCTCTGTTGGGGCTCTGCACATTGTTAGTTATTTTCATGAACATACTCTATTTATAATATAGTACAGTACCGGTACCACAGGAATTTTAGCTTTGCATCTTGAAAATTATTTCTTAGTAATTAAATGCACTAAAATCATAGTGGACGTTTGGAGGTATAAATAAATTCTCAAAAACGATGATTTACCCACTACTATACAGTTGTGCTAGACTGCCATATCAGTTATTTATAGTTGTGCCAGACTCATAGAGTACTATGGATGGTGGGTTATTTTACACTATTTAGACTATTTACACCGAAAAGATATGATTTGGTTACAATTAAATCTGTTTCTGGTTGGTATTTAAATGAGCATTTGATTTGTCTCATCACAGTTGTTCTTTTGTATGTCAGCCTTTGAAATTAGAGATTCATTCTGGGTTAGCCACAGGTCAATGCTACTCAACTTTACTGATGAGGGCTGGCCACCAACCACTGTTTCCTTTCCTTGTTATAAATAAATAAATAATAAGAAGAAGAATTTCTTATTCTTACTCTTTATAGCGATTACTATAAATAGATTTATAAATTTATAATAATTGTGATTAATTATAAAATATTAAACTTAAATACGCATATTTAATACGCAATGTCATACCGGTATATAAATCAGAAATCAGTAGGCTATTCGGCCATTTATTATTAGTGAAAACCAAATTAAAATTTAATGTTTTTCAACAATCTAAAAATGTGTTTAAAATCAGTCCCATTTGAATAAGAATATTTTTAATTTAAAAAAAGGTTAAAAAATATTTTTTATTCAAAAGGAAATCAGGTAGATATTGTTAATATTAATAATAATAATAGTAATGTATCTTTAAAATTTAAATTCTTGTAATTTAATTATTCAGACCCAGATATTAAGAAAACTGAGCATGAGTTTAGCATGCAGAGTAAATTCACAACATACTAAAGAACCTTTAACTTTAACAACTCAAGAGGAAGGCATCCGTACCATATGCCTTAATGATCCACGAAAAAGGTAAATAGTATTTACCTATTTATATCAGAACAGAGTTTCTTTTGTTTGCTGAATAAAAAGTGGTAAAAGTCATGTCGTAGTCACTATTCAAATATGAATGGGATTTTTTAGGTTTGCATCCTTATAATTTATGTTATTATATTTGTTCATATCGTTATTTATTTACTGTAAATTAAATATTTTTCTAGGAAATTTCTTTTCTTTCAGAAATGCTTTATCTCTAGCGATGCTCCAGTCTCTTCATAATGATTTGATAAACGACCAAGGGAAATTGAGAGTAATAATCATCAAAGCAAATGGAAATGTCTTCAGTGCTGGACATGACCTTAAAGAATTGGTTTGTTAATAATTTTTTTTGGTTATATTAAGGTGTTATTTTTTTTCATTTCAAGGGAAGACAGCAAATGGTTTAAGTTAAGCCGTAAAATGTTTGTGAGACCGACCGAAAGTGATTATCTGATTTTGGCCAAAACCTGCCTGAAAGTTTAAAACGATTTTTGGCCGAAACCAAATGTTTAACGAGATTTTTGGCCCAAACAGAAGCCTAGAGATTTAAATATTTCAAAACTCATTTTCGAAGACATTCTGTTCTCCACGCAAAATGAATTAACAACTTTTGTGGCAATTTTTATTTGTCTCTAGTGACTCATACAATTTACCAGAAGGAAGTGCAGTGTCACTTTGACCATCGGTAAGCTACAAACATCTTAACTACTTTCATTTAGCCAATCGAACTTAATAGGACTTAAACATTCCCGTTTACCACCCAAATCAAATCAGAATTAACTTTGAAATAGTCAATTTACCATTTTCCTTCAATGTTAGTCCTTTTAGTTTTAGCTTGTCATCACACACTCCCACACATACATCACCTGATGGAACAAATGTATTTTACCATTTTTGTATCTCACTGGGAATGCTTCTCAATAACAATCTATATGAGAGAATTAATATTCTGTAACCTTAATATTATAGTTAAAGGGTGTAATCCAGCCATTCTATAAAAAGCCTAAGTGTATAATGGTTTATGTATTTTACTTTAGGCCAACAATATAAAAAAAAAAAATAGCTAAAGTAGGTTTATAGTCTTTTAATTAGCCTTTTTTAAATCTATTTAATAATAAATTTTAATTAATTGCTAAGGAAATTTAATACTTAGCCTACTTAATGTGTGTCTTTACTTTTAGTCTTAGTGTCTAGTGTTATTTAGTATTATATAGGCCCTCTGCTATAATCCTTAGTTAAAACGATGGATATAACGATGGACTGAATACTGTTCAGAGCTGTATAATGAAAGTATAAAGATAGATCCAGAGATCCTTAATGTCCCTCCAGCAAAAGACAATGATAACTACCCTATTCTCCGTGCAGAAGTAGAAGCAGCAGTCCAAGCACTCCAAACAGGAAAGGCTGCAGGAGCGGATAATATCCCTGCCGAGTTGGTGACACAAGGAGGAGAAGCAATGATAAGTGCCCTAATCAATATTTGTATCAAAATATGGCTTACAGGAGAATGGCCCAAACCATGGACCCAATCACTCATCGTCACCCTTCCCAAAAAAGGTAACCTACAGCTATGCCAAAACTATCGCACCATTAGCCTAAGAAGCCATCCAAGCAAGGTCGTGCTGAAGGTCACATTGAACTGACTTAAACCATATGCCGACAGAATCATTGCTGAAGAACAGGCGGGCTTCAGACAAGGACTCGGCACTACTGAGCAGATTCTAAACCTCAGAATACTGTGTGAGAAATATGCTTAACACCAACAAAACCTATACTACGTCTTTGTGGACTTCAAGAAAGCATTCGACAGGGTTTGACATGCTGCTTTATGGGCCACCATGAGGCACTTCAACATCAACACAAACCTCACCAGAATGATATGCAACCTCTATGATAAAGCAACCAGTGCAGTCTTCCTCAACAGCAACATCGGAGAATGTTTCAAGACAATTGGAGTACGACAAGGCTGCCTGCTCTCCCCCACCCTGCTCAACATCTTCCTAGAGAGAATTATGTCAGATGCTCTGGAAGCGCATGAAGGGACAGTCAGCATTTTTGGCAGAAAAATCACCAACCTACGCTTTGCGGACGACATAGACCGACTGGCTGGGAACGAAGAAGAGCTAGCCAACCTGGTAAAGCGTCTCGATAAGACCTCGTCGTCCTACGGCATGCTAATCAGTGCTGAAAACACAAAACTGATGACAAATAACACCACAGGCATCACCACTGAAATTAAGGTGGGGAAGGAAAGATTAGAGACTGTAGGCCGCTTCAAATACCTAGGAGCAATAGTCTCAGAAGAACTGATGTCCAGGATTGCACAGACTACAACAGCACTAAAGAGGCCACAAGAAAATATGGAATGACAAAAATATAGCCCCCAGCACCAAAATCAGGCTGATGTGCTCATTAATCCTCTCCATCTTCCTGTATGCCTGCAAATCCTGGACATTAACAGCCGATATTGAAAGGAAAATAAAGGCGATAGAGATGAGATGCTTCAGAAGCATTTTTGGCATTGCTATAGAGACCATATATCTAATGATACATTGAAAGAAAGGGTTAGCCAGGCAATTGGGGAGTATGATGACCTACTGGTGACTGTGAAAAAACGCAAACTACAATGGTATAGCCACACAAAAGGAAACAAGGGCTTGCCAAAGAAATATTGCAGGGCACCGCAAGAGGAGGGAGAAGAAGAGGAGGACAAAGAAAAAGATGGGAGGATAACATCAAAGAGTGGACAGGACTAACACTGGGTGAAGCTGTGCGTAGTGCAGAAGACAGAGAAGAATGGAGGAGGATAGTTCACATGTCATCTGTGGCGCCCCAACGGTCCAAGGACTAAGGGACATGATGATGATGATATAATAATAATCAAATGAATTGTAAAATTACTGACATAACAGTCAATGACTTGTTTAAAATTGGGTAATATAAAATTAGGCTATAAAATGTTTATTAAAAGACATTGTTTAGTTTAATTAAAACTCAACAACATCATAGTACCGGGTAATTATAATTTTATTTTACATCGAAAAATAGTTATTAATTAAAATATTTAATTTTTCTAATGAAATAAAAAATTTAAAAAAATGGAAATAAGTAATATTTAAAAAAGAAACTAGAAATTGAGTATATTCAGAATAATGATTAAATGTAATTGAAAAAAAAAATATTACAAGGGGTTCATAATTCTTTCTTGAGATTTTTGTCCATACACTTATATGTGACTAATGTTTACAATTTTATATAATTGTCAATGAAAACATTTATGAGCATTATAATGATGAATGTCAATGAATTATTGAATTGAATAATTATCCCAAATTAAAATGAATGGAAGAATCATTTTAAAAAATGTTAAAGGAAATGTTGTCATTCCCTAAGATTTATTTTCACAATACCATTTACCTTTGACTATTATATTTATGAGCAAGATAATGATAAATCAACATGTATGTAAAAAATAAGGTGACAATCTGATTTCCGGGAGAAGACCAAAGGCCTCAATCACTTTCGGCCAGATGACAGAAAGTCTCATTCACTTTTGGCAGAAACCATAACTATGCCAAAACAGCAACTTTTTGTGCCGAAACAGAAGCCGAAATTCGGTCGGTCTCTAGTGCAAACGAGTTATTGTTTTTGTCTAATATCAAGATATAATCTTCTACAGTCAGTTTGAAGATATGATTAGAGATTGATGTATGCAAATATTTAACATTTTCTGTTATTTGCGATTCCCATGGGGTGTAAAAAAAAAGAACCATTTGTGCTTAATTAATTACAACATGAAGTTTATTCAAGCATTTAATATTTCTGTTGAATTGATTGAGGCTCACATCAAGTCATTATTTATTTCTCTCAGACAAGGGAGAAGGGCATTGATTACCATGAAAAGGTTTTTTCCACCTGTACGAATGTGATGAATCTAATACAGGTATGACCAGAAGAAAAGTAAGTGCAATAAGGTTAACTCCAAAGTGTTTGGTAAAATGTTTCCCCACTATCTTTAATGAATGACCTTTCTATGTCAAGGGAGGTAACTGAATCACGCTATTAAACAATTAAAAAACTATCTAATACAGGTATATGTATATTTCAGACCATTAGTATAAGTATAAGCCTCAGCTTTTGTTAAATTTAACAACCAGGAAATGTTAAAAATTTAACAGATTAAAAAAAAACACCTGAAACTGAAAACATTTTGCTTTATTTTCTGAAGGTTACCATAACAACCCCCCCCCCCTAAAAAATTTTTTAAAATATTTTTTTTACATTTTAAAATGCAGCATAAATCTTCTTTTCTCTTAATTGATAGTGCACATCAAATATATTTCAGGATTTGCCTGTTCCAGTTATAGCACAAGTAGATGGTAATTTGACTTTTAAATTAAAAATTTTTTGTATGTTTATAATTCAAATACTTTAAAAAAGATATTCCTTGTGCAAATATATTTAATGTTTAAGTTGTGGTTTTTCTTCCATTTCTCTCCAGGTCTAGCAACAGCTGCTGGATGTCAACTGGTAGCCACATGTGACATTGCTGTGGCAACAGAAAAATCCCAGTTTGCTACCCCTGGGTAGGCTATGGAAATTTAAAAAATCTTTAATGAGATTATGATTAACATTTGAAATGTATCTATTTGGTGTTTCATTTTCTTTTTTCAATAATACTCTACACATTTTATTAATATATAAGAGATGGTAATAGTAATAGTGTAGTTACGTAAAAGTACATTCCCACTTGGCCTTTGTACTGAGATTCTCAGATTTAAATGAACATTATATTATTTATATATAGACATGCTACTTTCTGTAACAAAAATATGGCCAGCAAGTTTAATTTTACATACACAATCCTGTCAAAATTTTCATCATTGTGCCTACATTCTCATCAACTGACAGGCTTATTTACAAACTTAAATTATTATTTGTATATGATAGTAGCCCTACCGCCATGACCAGTGGGCATATTTTATTCTTTATAGTTTGAAGATTAACATTTGGGAAATAAATTTAAGGTTGATTATTTTTTTTTGGATTAGAGCAGGGGTCTCCAAACTTTTCAGCCCGAGGGCCGCATTAACTATCAAACAGCAGTTTGGGGGCCGACTACACACTCGAGGTCCAAATAAATAAGAATCAAAACATGGATGTTGTTTTGAATTATTTAGTTAATAATATTTTATTCAGTTATTACTTAATAACACATTGATACACTACACATGAACGCATGTATTAGTGGGAATGGTGAAATTGCTTCCTGGATGCCAAAATAGCAGACATTTCTGGCTTTAGATTTGATGTCCATAACATCAACAGTGACCTGAGATTATCATCGGACAAGTTTGTTCTCAAATTGTTCTTCACATAATTAATTCTTGAAAATGTTTGTTCTCACGTGTATGGTGTATGTTGTTACAAAGATTGAAAGGTACCTTGATGCAAAAGTTTTGACATTATGAAAGTCTTAATTTTGGGCAGTCCTTCTTTGAATTTGTCCATAAGGAGCTCATTTGCTTGCAACTCGATGACCTCCAGCTGCAGTTCATCATTGCAAATGGCCACATCTACTTCAAATGGGTTTTGAAACAGTCTCACTTCTTCTGCCTTTGAATCGAAGTCAGAAAACCTCTGCTGAAACTGCACCTGGAGGTCTTTGATGATCTCACATGCAAATGACGTGGGGAACTCCGCTGTTGCTTCAGCCATGAAGAAATTGGACTGCTTAAAGTGCGTCAAGTTGTTGGCCTGTACTTGCTCCAAAAACAAGATGAGTTTGGATCTGAAGGCTTTTCTGTGAGTGTATAGATCAGAAACTTGATTTTCCTCTCCTTGCAGTTTTAGGTTCAGAATATTTAAATGACTAGTTATGTCTGCAGCTAAGGACAATTCCCATACACACTCTTCATTAGACAGTAATGCCTAGACACATATTTCCTTTCTTAACTTAAATACTCTGCTCAGAACTTTTTCACAACTTAGCCATCTTATTGCTGTGTAATATGGTAAATTTTGCGATTCTGTCTGTATCTTTCAACAGGTCTCTGAACTGTCTATGGTTGAGCCCATGTGACCTTATTAAATTCACCATCTTCACCACAAGATTCAGTACACTGCTAATGTCCACATGTTTAGCACACAAAGCTTACTGGTGAATATTGGTTGTAGAATGTTTTTCGCATTACAAATCAGCTTCACTTGTCCAACCAAGCCTTTCTTTATGCCACTCATGTTCTTTCCTCCATCAACAGTCAGGCAACTGAGGTTAGTCCAGTCCAAGTTATAATCAGCAAATTTTTTTTCACCTCATTGAATATAACCTCTCCAGTAACAGTGCCGCACATGCTATGTAGAGAAGCAAGATCTTGTGTTATGTTCATGTCTTCATCCACACTTCTAGTGAACACAAGCAATTGAAAAGTGGCGAAACATGCTTGCATTTTTCGCTATTTTAGGTCACAATGTTTTTACCCATGTCTGCATCACGGCGGGCAACAGTATTTGCACCCAAAGCTACATGTTTAACTTGTTTTGACTTTTCTGGGCAAAGTTCCCCAGCCACCACCAACAAACATTCCTTCACTACCACCTGTAAAGGGTTTGCCACTTTTAGGTAGGAGGCAAACACACTGAAAAGTAATGACGCGAAAGAAATTATCACTAAATAAAATAAAGTGCAACATGTTTCGCAATCAGACGCTAACTAACACAAACAACTCCTCAATCGCAGTAGTCAACCACAAATGAACAGGTTATCCAATATCAGCAAGGGGTAAGCACTTATTAAAACACAAGTCAAATAACAGATTGTAGTTTCTGATCACACACACCATATGACTAAATAATTTGATACATCATTAAAAATTCCAGTTGATGATGATTTATGATGGTAAAATATTTTAAGTTTTAGTTTGATTTATTAATGTCAATTTATTTTTCAATAACCTGGACTCAAATGGAAAACTGTAATCAAAACAAGCAGCAAACCGTCTAAAAACTCTGCTACTAGATGCTGCTATCATCTCGTTGACTGTGAACGAAAGTAGAAAAACTAAGCAGCGAGTAAGTTTATTGCAATGGAAAACATAACACTTTACTGCGCGCCTCTATTTCAATTCGGTAAAAACATAGCGTGCACGTAAGTGGTGGCTTATCTTGGCAGGATACATGTTAAATTCCGTATTTTTTTCCGTAGACAAAAAGGTCTCCGCGAGTCGCATGAGAGGGCCTCGCGGGCCGCAGTTTGGAGACCCCTGGATTAGAGTCACGTCTTGTTTTAAAACTTGGAATTATTGTGAACACGTGGTATGTCTGTCAGTGGAGATTCTCAATATGGATTCACCTCTAAAATGTGCGTCTGCAACAAATAAGCAGTGTGAAAGTACCTTAAAAAGTATTTTTAGGGGGAAAAAATGCGTTTGTGTGAGGCATCCTATTGTAGGACTTAGAAATATAAATCTTATAAAGATCTTTACCAAAAGAGTATTTTTATGTTGATTTATTTAGAAAGTACATGTGAAACTATCTAATATATGTATATTTAAACAAATACGTGCCTTATTTCATCACCCATTCAGAGTAAATGTTGGCCTGTTCTGTACAACACCTGGGGTTGCTGTTGGTAGATCAGTGCCTAGAAAGATTGCTATGGAGATGCTGTTAACAGGTTATCCAATATCAGCAAGGGGTAAGCACTTATTAAAACACAAGTCATATAACATGATTGTAGTTTCTGATCACACACACCATCACCCAATAATTGGATACATCATTAAAAATTCCAGTTGATGATGATTTATGATGGTAAAATATTTTAAGTTTTTGTTTGATTCATTAATGTCAATTTATTTTTCAATAACCTGGACTCAAAAGTATATATTATAGAAGATTTCATTCATCTAGATTCAATCGCCTTGCTGTAAGTGTGTACAAGTGACAGCTCAGTATTTTATTAATGCTATTTGGTCAAGTGTTTTGATCTCATCACTTTTTTTAAGTTAAAAAATATGAACTGTTTCACAATGTTGTCAGAATATTACCATCCTTTTAAAAAAAAAAAAAAGTCATATTTTAATTAATCAAATTTTCACTTCCAGGTTGTTTGTGCATTAGTAAATTATTTTTGCTCTGTTTTTATTTTAAAGAGGCTCTTCTGTACGGATTAGTCAGTAAAGTTGTCCCTGATGACCAAGTGGAGGCTGAGGTAGTAATAAGCTTCAAGGTGTCGGCTACTTACAAATGTAGAACAATAAAATCTATTTTTTAATGCAATGTATCATTACTTTTGGGGGATAAAAATAAAGAGTATGATTATGATATAAATCTTTACAAAAAAAATGATAACCAAGTTTTTTTTAATTGCCGTTTTTTGTCTCTTTAATACTTTTTGTTATGATTTAATTTTGCTTGATTCTCTGATGTTTTTTGGTTCATTCCAATCTCACATTTGGAAATGAAATCATTGAGCAGATATTTATTTTAAAATATTTTCCTGGTTGACAAATTTGGGATTACACTTACAGAATTTATTAAATTTGAATTCCAAATGAAAATATGAAATACAATACTATGATATCTAAATTATGTGCCTTTTATGTATTCTATGACATTTCATAGAGTGATCAAGGGTCAGAAACATTTGAATTTTGTTGTAAAATATATATTTTTAGCGTAAGAAAAAAACACTTTAAAAAACAGGTACTCATTTTATTGTTATTATAACATCTTAAAAAAGAAATTTTCATGTAAATTATGAAACTAAAACTGGCTACTTTTACCTCTTTAACTTTCCCTCCAGACAATGAAGTTGGCTAAACGGATTTGTGAGACCAGCAAAGAAGTAACTGCACTTGGGAAAAAAGCATTTTATTCTCAAATAAGTCTAGAGAGAAAGAGAGCATATAGGTGAGCTATGCAACGATCTCAGAGATAGAAATTAGTTTTCAAAATGTTATAAATGAAAAATAAAAAAATTCACAAAGTCCATTTAGTACATGGGAATTCATTTTCTTGAAGATGTTCAGAAATTGTTTTAATAATGGCTCCACTCCTTAAAAAAAAAAAGCATGAAGATTTCTGGTGACTAAAGTTGAAAAGTATTGAATACACATAGACTCTACTAATATATTACTAATACAAACATTTTAATCAAAAAATATTTGTCTAGTATTTCATTAATTTATTAACCCATCTGTGTTAAAATGCATGGAATTGATCAGTGTTCACAATATTCATAAGGAATGCAATTACAAATTATATCCTTTAAATCATTTTTAAAGATCTGATGTTCTTAATTGTTGGCCTCTTCATATGTTTGTACCAGTATGCATACACATGCATGGTCGAAACATTTCTTTTTCTATAAGATTTCTCACCTATATAAATTTTTACAAATTTGTTAAAATAAAAATTGAAAATCTATAACACATCTTCAATGGTCACAGAGCTTATATAGTTACTAACATTCTAAGCAAACTCACAGTATTCCAGTGTAATTCAAGTATCCACAAACCATCCTGTTAATGACCACTAAAGAAACTATCATAGTCTTCCAGGGTAATTCAAATATTCACAAACTATTCTGTTTTTGTGTATTGAGATAACTTTTTTAAAAAGGAATCTTTCCTCAGGTTTGCAGAACAAATCATGGTGACAAATCTCACTCTGGATGATGGGAATGAAGGCATTAAAGCATTTATCCAGAAAAGAAAACCTGAGTGGAAGCAGGATTAGATACGTACAAGTCATGCTATGGGATAACCGTGCCGCAGTAAATCTGCACAGCAGCTCCGTTTAAAATTATATTATTGCATGAAATAAAATGCATTTCCCCCAAGTATTAAAATAATTCCAGTTGAAATATTCCTCACTGAAAATGTGCTCTTTGTACCACATAATTTAAAATCATATAACTTCATGAGCCAACAATGTCAGTTTTACTAAGTCTTAAATGTGCAATAGCTGTACATTGTTTGGATCAGAAGATTGCTCTGATACTACCTAAGAGTGCTGAAATGCACACAATTTTTGTTTTAGCACTAATGACTTTTAAAAAGTTAAAAAGTCTATTTACCCCTTTTCAAAGCTAAACAACATCCATATATTAATATATTAATATTTATAGAGTTTGAGGTTTTTTCATTGAGTTACACTGAAAACATTTGCATTTATATAATAATATGGTAATGGTAGGCCAACTGGTATGAATTTAATTATTAATATTATTTATGAACAGTGTTTATATTATATTGGTTTTTCAGTTCTTTAAAAACATTTTTTAATTAACACTATTAGACCATAGTATATATATAAATATTTTAATGGAAAAACATATTTCTCAAAGAAATTTAAAAAATTTTGATGACATGATTAAAAGGGATTTAAAAGTTTTATGATTTCATGCAAGCATTAGCCATGTTAATGCAAAATCAAAATTTAAAAAAAATCACGGTATAGTGTAAGTAGAGACATACAAGTTCCTAGTATCACCCTTAATGATAAGCTATCACGGAAAGAACACTGCCTAATTCTTCTCTATATTAAAAAAAAAAAAAGTTAACCAAAGATATTTCTTTCTTAAAAAATGACACAAAATTGTCACTAGCAAACAAATTCTGCATTGCAATCTTTGGAAACCTACTGAACTTCTGTAATTACTTGCTGGTGTGGGAATTCACCACTTATCATCAAAAATAGACATGAACAAGTGTTTGAGTTTGATGCAAAAACTAAACAAATTTTGTCTGATACATCCCAACCTCTTCATCATAAACAGCTAAGATCAGCTTGATCAGGGCGAATTCTTACCCTCAAAGTAAGGAACAAAAGATATAGAAATTCGTTTGTTCCCCAATTAATCAGCCCCCCCCCCACCAAGAAAATCGAAATAATCCCTCTTTAAAATCAACATTGTCAATAAATTAGGGAAGTTCTTGAGAAATATTGATGTATTATGTTAAAGTTAAATTGTTGTAGTTTAAAAATGTTTGTCTTTGTAATATTTATGTAGGTGCTGAAAATGAATATCTAAAATGTAATTAAAAAAAAACATTTCTTTGAATCTTATCTTAATCAGGAAAACATTGACAACAAAATGCTATTGAAATGAATTAATTGTAATTTTAATTGTTTACTAATTACTAATTAATATATATTTTTTATTAAAATTAAAAGAAACCAACATAATTGTTACATGCTTAAAAAAGTTTTTTACTATGAATGGTTGGTGTGCAACAGTTAAAACAAATGAAACTTAATGACCTATCTGGTTAACATCATTCAGATTTATCATAATCATAGCCTCTCCAATGGCGTTTTATCATCTTTTTTTAATGGATGGACCATAATTTTTTTTTCCTTCACACCATTAGTTCAATCAAGAATAAATAAAAATGATCAAGTTAATGAGGTATATTGTTTTAATATCTTCCCAGACACATTTTTACTTAATTGTAGTTGGCTTGAATAGGCATATCTATCAATCTTGCATTTCTAGTCAGATCAAAATGAAAATCATAGGATGAGATCTAGTTTTAGCTTTAGAATCTGCGAATATGCGAACCCAATTAATTGGACCTTGGTCCATGATGAGCTGTTTTTGCAGCAATCATTGAAGATAACCATTCCAATTTTCTTTTATTGCAGCCCTTGCTTGAGACGCATATACTTGAGATAAAAACACAAAAATTTACAGATTTATTTTAAAATTTGGTTTAAGTGAACCTGCAAGTTAAAAGGATATATTTAATCAATGCAAGTACTGCAAATAATAATTAAATAAAACTTATTTTTTCTGTTGGTCAAAGATCATATTGATATAGTTTAAGAATGCATGTTTTCATTTCTTAAAATTTGAAAAAAATATTCCTCTTAAATATATGCGTTGAATTTGAAATTGAATTATTTAACTTTTGCTAAACAAAATGTTTTTCATATAGTCATACAGATGACTTTAGGCCAGGCCTGCACAACTCAAAATGTAATAGGCCTACTTTATGAAAAACTTGTGTGACAGGGGCGAAAGCTATTATTATTACTAAGGATAATAAAATAATAAAGAATATTCCGTTACTTAACAGGCCGCATGTTGTGCAGGCCTGCTTTAAGCCATATCTTAAGATTGGTTAATGCAAGTGTTCATTCAAGTGGAAACCATCATTACATAGCGTACATGTTTTCGGCTGTTTATGGCTTGCTGTACCCACAGCAGCTCCATAGCGAGCGTGTTCTTTATGTTCTGGAGATCCTCTTTACTTTCAGGAAGGTTGTACAATGCTGAGTCTGCTAATGATACTGAGTTTAGTAAAAGCAAAAAGATTATTATACAAAACTTCAGATTAGTCTAAAGGGGATTTAAAGCATTGTCTAGACCTGGTGAGCAAACCCAAAAGGCTTCATAAGCCCCTTTAACCAAGTTAACCTATCGCTGGCTGCAGGTCATTTCACCTAATATATTAAAATAAACACAGACTTAATGTTGTATTTAGTTGTTTACCTATTCTTAATGTACCTAATGAAATTCATCAAAACAAAATATACCCGGTAACTAAGTTTAAGTTAGTTTATCTTTTTAGAAGTCTTAACTTGCTTGCCTCACAGCTGAATTCGTGTTTTGTTTTTTTTGTGCTTTTGAAATCGATGAAAAGTTAAGGTGGTAAAGAGTTAAAAACATTCTGAAAAAAGAAAATCATGCCATTTGTCTGTGAAAAATGCACAGTGAGTAAATGACCAAAATACAGTATCTTTTTTTACGGGCCACAGATGTGCTTGCAAAGGGCCTAATGTTTGACATGTCTGGCCTAGACAAATTGAAAATCTTTTCTTCAAATTACGTAATGGCTAATTGAATCTCAATTCTATGTTTACTACAAGATGTATTAAATATATTATATATTAATTTTATTCAAGAAAGGGATATAGTTAGTAACAAGATGGCATTTGTGACTAACCAAAATCCATGATGTCTATTTGAATAGTTGCATCTTTACGATGCCATATAGAGATTGGTGCCCATAAAATGTAAAGTGTAAATACATGTAGGCCTACCCTTTAACTTTAATTTGTTCATTGCTATTCCCAACACATCTTATTTCCTTTTTTACCATATGGACCTTAATTTATTTAATGAAGGAAGCTGTGTAGTATAATGTATTTAGTATACTTTTTTGACTTCTTTAAAACAAATAATAATTTTCATTGCATCGTGATGCATTGTTTTTAGTGTTTGAGATTGATCTTCAGCCTATACATTCTCATTCACTGTTTTGTTGTTTATTTCCATTCCACATAATAATGCTATTTTTAGAATGAGTCTAACCTTTCCGTTTCCTTCTTTCTTTCTCCTGTTCTTCCTCCACTCTAGTATGGGAATCCAAAATCGGTAATTCATCAAATGGAAGCATCTCTTTATTATGCACCTCATTTAGTGGGATAGTTTCGCCTTCAGGAGCTGAAGGCAAGTCAGGCAGTGACCCACCAAATGATTTAGAGCAAGATTCATTGACAGATCTACAATTTGTTTTACTCATCTCAACACCACTTTTATCATGCAGCGCAGTCCCCATAGAAACGTTCTGGACTTCAGTTAGACTTTGACACTGCATTTGTGTGGATTCCATTTTGTGCTCAGCTTTTGTAAAGGCTTTTCTTGTACAGTCATCCAATTCAAACGAATCAATCTGAACTTCTATGGAAACACAGTTACGTTTTTGCTTGGAAGATGACTTCTCAGGATCGCTGGGCAAAATTTTTGGACTGATCTGAGGATCAGATCTGTCTTGACCTTTTAAAACTGGAAGTATTTGAATATTTTCTGGAACCGATACATGTGTAATAGTTTCTAAGTTTTCCAAGACCTCATTTATGCCGTTTACTTTGTTAACAGGTAATGTAGCTGAGACTCTTTGTGTTTTCCGGCATTTTCTAACAATAGGGTGAACTAAGATACTGTTTGTCCAAATAACTTCCATCTCTTGTCCATCTATGTTTTGAACAATGTCATCATAGAGGTGACGGAGCTGTGAAATCTGTTTTCTCACCAAATGGCCTCGTAACAGTGCCTAAATAAATCAGATTTTATAGAATTTTTTTTTACAAATTATTATTTTGAATTCTTTTTAATTATTTTTAATACATCTAAATTAATGAGCATTCATTAAGAAAAATTAGTTAAAATAAATTTTTATTCGGCACTAAAAAAATAATGCTCAACTATAATAGTGTTAAAAACGGACAAAAAATATTAATTGATGATTAGCCTTCTCATGACATGACCTGCGTAGATTGAGATTTAAACAAAAAAAAATTTGTAAAGTATATTAGTGTTTGAAATAAGTAATTCGCTAATAACTGGACAAAATCAAAGCATTACTGAAAACAAAAAGGATAGCACAACAAAACACTAGTCTGTGCTATTGTCATTGTTCTCTCTTGACTATTGTAACTATCTTCCGTCAGGTTCACCAAAACATTTCATAGAAAAACTTCAGAATGTTCAAAACTCAGTTGCTAGGTTAGTCCTAAAGACAAAGAAACGTGATCACGTAACTCCTCTACTTCACTCACTTCTCTGGTTCATGCCCTTCCTATCTTACTGAACTTCTTTCTATCTATTCACCCCTTTGACAGCTTCATGCCTCAGCAGACACGCGTATTCTTTCTGTTCCCAGAACACGCAGTAAAATATGATGAACGATCTTTCTATGCCCCAAAACAATGGAATTTTCTCCCATTACACATCCGCAATATACTTTCCATCCCAGTCCCAGCCTCCAAAACTAATCTCTTCAAACTGTTCTATACTGACTCATTCTCACACCCTCTAACTGATAAACAACCCTCGATGCTGTTGGGTGCTGTCCATAGCTAGAAAGGGGTAGATAGTAGTTGTGTGGATGAGGTCAAAGTTTTTACCAATTGTTTTTATCTATAATTTTCTGTACCCGTAATTGCTAATTTTTATGAGAAGCGCAGTGAGCCTATCCCTAGGCTGGGGTTAGAGACGGACCAAATATCGGCTTCGGCGCCGAAAGTAACCATTTTATCACTTTCGGCCAAGTTTCGATTTCGGACGAAACTAAAAGATAACTTTCGGCTTAATTTCGGTTTCGGCCGAAAGAGAAAAGTTAACTTAAGGTGTTTTTTCAGTTTCGGCCGAAATTGACTTAGACTTTCGGCCATCCGGCCAAAAGTGACTGATGTTTTCGGTCATCTAATGCTCAGCGAAAGAAATATTTGACAACAAACTAAGCGACATTTAAGAACAAACTAAACGATCTTTAAGAACAAATTAATCGATCTTTAAGAACAAACTAAAACGATCTTTAAAAACAAATAAAGTGATCCTTAAAAACAAATAAAGCGATCTTTAAGAACAAATTAAGCGATCTTTGAGATCTAAACGATCTATAAAACATACTAAGCAATCTTTAAGAACAATCTAAGGGATCTTTAATAAAAAGCTAAGGGATCTTTAATAAACGATCTTAAAGAACAAACTAAACGATCTTTAAAACAAACTAAGCAATCTTTAAGAACAAACTAAGCGATCTTTGATAACAAACTAAATGATCTTTAATAACAAACTAAACGATCTTTAACAACAAACTTAACGATCTTTAATAACAAACTTAACAATCTTTAAGAACAAAACAAATGATCTATAACTATAATAGTAAACTAAATGATTTATAAGAATAAACTAAGTGATTTTTAACAGAAAATGTTCTTTAGGAATAAACTAAAAGATCTTTAAGAACAAACTAATCGATCTTAAGAAACAAAATCAATTATCTATAAGAACAAACTAAGCGATCATAATACAAAAATCTAAGAGATCTTCTACAAAATAATATGCGATCTTTAAGAACAAACTAAACGATTTTTAATATCAAACTAAAAGATCTATACAAACAAACTAAATGATCTGTCACAAATGACCATGCTGGAGAAGGGAGCGATGGGCGTGGGTGCCGCACAAAGGTACCTTATAGGATGGAAGGAAACTGCTGTTAATGGGGTTAAGTTAAGGTTAATAGACTCTCACATCTTGATATAGTGGGGATTGTTTCTTTGGATAATAGTATGTTCGGGTTTTCCAGACTTCGCGTGATAGTTTTTGGGTTAACAATGGGAAGGTCTAATTGGCCGGAAATTAGGGGGCATGGGTGTGTTTATAGATAGCATTCCTGGACCACCTATGGGGTTAAAGAATCACATATAAGGCAGAGCTTTCACGGAGTTAAACCCAGTTGAGGAAGAGGGAACAGAGGTACGACGTAGTTGAGGAAGAGAGAGAAAAGAGCTACGATAGAATCAAGCAGTTGTTAGGGAATAGTTGCTAGTGATCAGGAGACGACAGATGACTGGAAGAACTTATATCTTACAAATAAACACTTTCATTATCGTTGGACACCAGGAGTTTGAGTTGTTGCATTTCGTCCAAGTCTACGTTGTGCTTTTGTCTGTCTCAACGCCTAGACACCCACCATATAAATCACAGAGAGGAGCGGTCCTGTACTGACCACTACTTAGTCAACACAGTTCGTGGTAAGTCAGGACCGGAGCCCTCCTCCGTAACAACCGTTCTGTGACATGATCTATAAGAACAAACTGAATTATCTTTATGAACAACTAAGCGATATTTAAGAACAAAATCAATGATCTTTAAGAACAAACTAAACGATCTTTTAATAACACAAACTAAGCGATCTTTAAGAAAAAACTTGACGATTTTTTAAAATCAAATTAAATGACCTTGAATAACAAACTAAAAGATCTTTAAACAAAAACTAAGCGATCTTTAAGAACAAACTAAGCGATCTTAAAAACAAAATAAACGATTTTTAACAACAAACTAAGCGATCTTAAAGAACAAAATAAACGCTTTTTAACAGCAAACTAAGGGATCTTTATGAACAAATTAACCGATTTTTTAAGAGCAAATAAAGCGATCATTATAAAAAAAATGAACGATCTTTAACAACAAACTAAGCGATCTTTAAAAACAAACTAAACGATATTTAACAACATGATGTTATATTAGATCTTTATTTATTAATATTCACGATTATCTCATTTTTTTAATAAAAAGAATGTAAATATTTATACTTTCCCCCATCATTTTCGATGTATGCAGAATGTATGCGGAAACGAATTTCAAATACCTAAATAATTCATTTTCGGCCTCGGTAGTCATTTTTAACTTTCGGCCTTTTTTCTGTTTCGGACGAAAGTCATTTTTAAACTTTCGGCCTATTTTCGGCTTCGGCCGAAATCAGAAAATCACTTTTGGTTGGTCTCTAGCTGGGGTACTGCCCCATATAAAACTACCTTAATAATAATAATAGTCCAAACTAAATGTCATTTAACAAATCTCCCCTTTCAATTAATCTATTTTACACTATCAACCATCAGTAAGAAGTAGAAATTTTTAAAACTTCAAAATCTTTTTCAAGTAGGGCCTATTTTAGATGCCTCGGCTGTTTAATAATTTGACAAATTAAAAAAAAAAAAATAACGGGTAATGTTATTTTAAATCAAATGGTCTATGCCCTATGCCGATGCTGCTAACCTTGACATTATAACCTTCTTTTAGTATATCAGACCTGTTTGCCCTCAAACTCTTAAAATCGTACAATATCATCACAAAATCGTTCAATACATTTTCTTAATAGTAAAAAATAAACATACAGTATATTTATTGTGTAAACACCTCAAAATTGTACATTGTACGCCAAAATCGTAAGAGTAAACAGGTCTGGTATATACTAGACTGTAGCATTCAAATTACATAACATATTAGAGTATTTTCAAATCCGGGGAGAGTTTTAACATACACAGGGTTTTAAGTTTATATTGGCCTTGTTATTAAAAAAAAAAATCCTTTTATTTTTTATTGTTGATTTCAGATGAGGTATGTAATGTAACAGTAGTGTTGTGAGCGTGGTCTGAATCTGATCACTTTACTAACTGGAAGTAAATCCAGTGGCATTTTTGGATAGCTGCAGTGTTTTTATCCTGAAAAAGAGGGAGACAAAAATCTTGGCCAAACTAATACTAGCTACACCACTAGGCAAAGCATCTAATCGGAAACAAAATTGGCGATAATTTTTATCAAGAATAACAGCAAAAATTGAAGGCACCAATGGCACCTGGGCGGCAGAGGGGTCATTTTTATGGGAAATTAGGGCGCTTATTACTCTTGAGTGAAAAAGGGAGGGAGGGGTCTAGGGATCACCACCCCATGATTATTTCAAATTCAAGAGGTGAATTTTGGAGTTTACCTGAATTCAGTGTTAGATCGGGGGATAACATTTTCAAGCGTCTGGGGGAGGCATTATCATACCCAGTACCATTTAAAAACTGAATTGACTCCGGTTGCAGGATGCCCCATGGTAATCAGTTGACACAAGCCTAGATTCAACCCCGTACTTTCATTTTGAATGGCGTGACAAAAAAAGGGAGTGGAAATTAAGGGTGCCAAAAAATCTGTTGTTCCCCACCCCCTCCCCACCCATATTTGGATTAATACAAAATTTAGGGATGCATTTCGGCGCATACTTGAATTTGTTGTTTCTTTCAGATAATTTGAGAGGGGTCATTTCGAACTTCATGCGAGAAGCGCAAGAATTTGCCATAATAAATATCAGGTACATCTCTAACTCCGCCCCAGCCCAACATGAACTAAATTCATTCCAAATGATGCTATTGAGGGTATGCTTTTTCCCCTAGCTTAGTGTTGCCCCTTAAATCTTTTTAGTCCCAAGGCAATTTTGGATAAACTTGACATTCAAGAATGGATTTTAGCACATATCTGAAATTTGTTTTGCATCATTCTACACTTAATCAGAGAGCAACGGGAGAGATGCAAGTTAAAAATTTAGGTTTCAATTTACATCAGAGCCATAGTGTGGGCCTCTGATATTTTTGGGGCTGAGGTCATTTTTTGAAACATCAAATTTCAATGTAAATTTATGTAATTAAAAAAACTAATTACTAAATAGTTGTGTAGTTTTATCTTTAATTAAAAACTATTTACATAATAAAAAAGTACAGCTAATATTGTTTTACATATTGAACGCAATGGAAAAAAATACATATGATAAATTAAATACATTTTCCAAATATTTCTAAGTTTTAACAGAATCAAAAAGATAATTTAAAACCCTTTAAAACAAAATTTTTTGTATAAATCCTTTATAAAAAAAAATGATTTTTGGGAGTTGAGGTTGGGGGCTTAAAATTTGATAGCATTTGTTGTCATCTGCAATGAGTGTTTATGCCGAATTTCAGCTCAATAGCTTGACAGGAAGTGGTTCAACTAGCCACCCGAAGATTTTGCCACCTAGCCATTAAGAAACACATGAACAAAAGCGAAGTTGATAAAGAGGATTTAAAAAAAAAATGTTTTGTAGAAAGGTCTAAATATTTTAAGGATGTATAAAACTAGTCATTTTTTTATAAATCTTGTATAACGGCATAATTATGTTAAGAAGACAGGTGATGTTTACAAAAGACATTATATTTTATATATTTATTAATGTGTGATTTTATCTATGGGAAATTGATCAAAAATAAAGTATATTCATTTGATTGAAATATTTATTTTGAATTTCAAACTAATATAACTTATATATACTTAATTTCAATATAACCTGTTGGTGTGGGAATTCATCGTCTGATATTAAATACCAAATAAACCGACTAATCAAGAAAGCTAGGAACATAACACAAACTAAACATCCTTCACTTGAAGAACTATTTGAAGAAAGATGTTATTGTAAAACTAAAGATATTTGGATGATACATCCCACCCTTTTCATCACAGATACTTAGGATCTGCCCGTTCTGGACGAATTCTTTCTCTAAGGGCTAAGACCGAAATTTACAAACTCTTTTGGTCCCCAACCTGCCAAAGTGTCCTCGTTTTATAGCCATTTTAATTGTTTCTATAGTATAGTAGTTACTATCCTAGTGTCTCATTTTTATTTTACTTAGTTTACATGTTTTTAATAATTGTAAAGCGCTTAGAGCTTTAAGGTAAGCTCTATATAAAAATGCCTAAATAAATAAATAAATAAATAAATTTACCAGTGTGCTCCCCCCTGAAGTCACCAATCTTAATGAGAACTACTAAGTCCCTGATATGGCTAAGAAAATTCACTGAATGGCTGTTTTTTTTCACTAGTGAAATAATTTAATGTAGATATCTTGTGTTCAAATTGTTTTATTTATATGCTGAAAATGTACAATGCAATAAAAAAAACCATTTACATTTGTTTGGATCAATAATAGAATCTTATCTTATCATATAAAATAAATTAAAAATTGCCTCATCAATATACTTTAACACATTTTAAAAAAAAAATCAATAGAATTTAGTTTTAAATCGATGATTTAGAAAGTATAAACTTTTTTCTAACTAGTTCATAAAATGGAATTGGCATGATAATCAAAATCCTATTTTACAAAAAAAAACAAAACAAAAAAACCATGATCTTTAAAGCTTTCTACTGTATTTTCATCTAATAAGATAAATGTTAAAAAATGCGTGCGGATAGGTGGGGCAGATTATTTATTACAGAGAATGGATTCCAAAAAACACAAATCAACTTTCTAGCTCAAGTGGTTGAAAAGTTATGAATTTTTTTAGTATTGACCTCAATCAAAACCACTTTTTCATTATGGGGTTTTCCTGCACATTTCGTGACCCTCATTTTGCTTTTGTTTTTATGCCTATAACTTAGTTATAAAATGAGACCAAAATATAACATTTGCAGGGAACATAGTTAAATAAGAGAACATCTAAATAAAGCCAAAAAATATAAATTTAGTTTTTGTTAATATGCCGCAAATATTAAAAAAAAACAAGTTTATTATTTGCCTATTAAAAATGTTTAAATATGCTGAATCATCACTTATTTGTAATAGTTAATTATGTTTAAATGTTTTTTTTAATTTCCCCAAAAATCATAATAATAATATTCTTTAGATATTAATTTCAAATTTTCAATGGAATTGTTTAACATTAATAAGTGTAAACAAATAATAAAGGGATTATTTGTTTTATTTAGTTAAAATTGACGATTACACTTTTTATTTTACCATTTTCTACATATGTATATTATATAGTATTCCTATATAATTATGACAAAACAATCAGTATGTCATTTATTTTAAGTTTGTAATCTTGTTTTACAAATCAACATGTATTGTTAGAATCAACTTTTACTTTAGCTGTTAATAGAAAATAAAATAAGGTCTAGTCATTTGCTTGAGGTAAGTACAAGTTTTTATGATTGTTCTTCAGTAATATCTTAAGTAATTCTTGGATTAATGCGCCAGAAAGTGATTTTTTTTTCTTTGAGAAACTGAGGATTATATAATAATTCTCTTGTGGAATATTGTGATATGTGATTAAATATAGGATATTTCAATACCAAAGGTAATTGAATATTTTTAAAATGTTTACTTAGTTCATGACTAAAGAATCTCAATATTCATTTAAATATTATTACATATCCTAAAATATCATTACCGGTACATATAATTTATTATAATAGGCCCTACAAATAAGTTGGGTTGGGTATAGTATACTTTGTATTATATTATACTAGGCCTATAGCCTATGGTACTATACCATTATATATTTGTATATAAACTAATATAAATATATTAGTTGCAATAAAAGCTATTTATCCCACTCCTTAAATCATTTATAATAGTATAATTAGTATTATAATACTTTTACTAAGCCTATCTTAGTCAAAGAAAAGAGCTTGTCAATCCCATGGCAACCAACCCAAAAATTAAAACCACTGATATTTCATAAGCCAATAATAATTATTTATGTTATAAAACATTTTTTATTTATATAAAATGATTTATTAGTTATATTTCCCATTTATATTCTAGATAACCAATTTAATGAATTATTAATTACCCCACGGCTGCTATTGATAATTGGCAATAAGCAGACAAGCACGGTGGCTATGATGCCAAATTACATAGCCTTAAAAAATTACATCTAGGAAATTCGTTTTTGAAGCCCACCCATGGTCTAACCTCATGAATTTTTTATAAGTTGTAAATGAACCTATAAACTAAAACAGCGGAGTATTTTAAGGAGCGCATTTTTAAAAAAAAGTTATTGATAAGTGAAGTTGACCTATTTTTAACTTCAATTTTCAAAGCTTTAACCTTGATAAAAAAATTCAAACTAACTCTTAAGCAAGATGTCGGCTTTAAATAATTGGCGGAAGTAGAATTTATTATTATGCTAAAAATCGATTGTATAAGGCAAAAAAACGATACCCTCAGTAAATTAAAAAGGGGAGGTTCGCCATTTTGACAACGAAATTACGATACCCATCTTTTTGGTATTTCCAGGCAATATTGAGGTCCCTAGAAACAGCCATTATCAAAATCAATAATCATTATTGTTTATTAATAGGTAAGTTTTGGGACATGTGAATTTGACTAAAAATTCCTGATAATTTTCTGACCACACCCTTGGGTCTAACCTAAAAAATGGTGTATATTTTCTAATATATGTCACCATCTATTAGGATCTTTCATTTAAGCGATATATGCATTCCCAAAAAAATATGCATGAGTAAATTTAACATTATTTTACTCTTCTTACCATCAATGCCATCAATTTTCAAAGTATTCAAAGTGAAGCCCTGAAAGACTGAAACTGAAATTCTTCTTTGAAACTAAAGTGTCAAATTAAAAAACAAAATATGTATACTCTAAGATGCGGGCGGAAATAGAATGCATATATATATATGCTGGGATATAATATAATTGGCAACAAAAAAAAAAAATAAATAAACCATGACACTCTTAATCTTAAATTAATTAAGAAGTGGAGGTCACCATTTTGACAATAAAAATCTTGATGTCCGGTTTTCGGCGTTTCCCGAACCTTACCTAAATGCCTAATGAAATTGAAGCCTATTGACATTGAACATTGATTTGAAGTATTTGAAGGATCATTCAATAATTTAGAATTAATTTTTTTTTTTTAATGGCTGATACTGATTCACTGATATTGACATTATTGATAATAAATAATAATAATTGATTTTGTTGTACTGTAATCACTATCCGACTATCCACATATAAATAATAAATATAGTAAAACTTAGTAAAAGTATAAGTTACAGTATTAATGATTGATCTTGTCAATATTAGAATATTAATAAATTAATATTATTATTATTATTCGGTCACTTTTTTTAGGATAGGCCTGACTCTTCATTATCATAGTAGACATGAGCCTAGATGTATATTGACTTTGACAATTACTAAATTAAAACCATAATAAATTTTATTTTATATAGCTAATTTAACAAATAGTAGGATAATATTACTACCTGAATTTTAATAACATTATTCACTAAGCTTTCATAGTAACTATAAGAATCAAAGCCATCGATGGCTGCCATCTTGCAAGAAATTTCGTATCAAACACTTTTTAAAAAACCCGCTGTGTTATTATTATCATAGAATGTGTGGTACAAAATATAGAGATTTTTTAAAATGTTTGAATAACTTCGTAATGTCCGAGTTTTACTATCCTTAAATTGTGTTTTTAAGTTATGTCTTTCGTTAGACTCCAAAAGGGGGGAGGGGAGCGCTCGCTATGTTGGCCCATTTTTTTTATAACCCTTCTATTATTCAAAGTATTTATTAAGTAAATTAAGATTATATATATCTATATATATAAAAATGAATGTATGTCTGTATGACTGTATGTCTGTATGTCTCGTATGCGCTCCTACACCATTCATGCGATTGCGACAAAACTTTGGTCAGTTGTTGTCCACATAACCGACCATTTAACTGAGTCATTAAAAACCTTATCGAGTGTTCCGTTCCTAGCCGTTGGCCCTTAATTCGGTTTTTTTTCTTATTTGAGCTTTGTAAAAATATTTTCCACATGCGCTCCTACGCCATTTATCCGATTCATATAAAACTTTGGTGAAATGTCGCGAGCATGTCCATAAACATTTCTAAATTATTACAATTGTTTTAAATTATTCAGTTTTGACCCAGGGGCCTCATATTCGTTTTTCCTTATATGAGCTATAAAACTATATTTTCAAACCGTATGCGCTCCTACACCAATCATGCGATTGCTACAAAACTTAGTGAGTTGTTGTCCATGCGCCAGTGCATTTTACAGTGTTATTAAAACACTTTTAAAAACATTCTGTTTTCGGCCGTTGGCCCTTAATTCGTATTTTTTCTTATATGAGCTTTGTAAAAAATAATTTTCATATGCGCTCCTACGCCATTTATCCGATTCCGACAACACTTTGGTGAGATGTCGCAAGCCTGTCCATAAAGGTTTCTAAATTATTACAATTATTTTAAATTATTCAGTTTTGAGCCAGGGGCCTCATATTCGTTTTTCCTTATATGAGCTATAAAACTATATTTTCAAACCGTATGCGCTCCTACACCAATCATGCGATTGCTACAAAACTTAGTGAGTTGTTGTCCATGCGCCAGTGCATTTTACTGTGTTATTTAAACACTTTTAAAAATATTCTGTTTTCGGCCGTTGGCCCTTAATTCGTATTTTTTCTTATATGAGCTTTGTAAAATAATAATTTTCATATGCGCTCCTACGCCATTTATCCGATTGCAATAAAACTTAAAACTTTGGTGAGATGTTGGAAGCACGGCCACCAAGGTTTTTAAATTGTTATAAACTTTTCAAAATATTCCAATTTTAGCCAGCGGACTTATTTACGTTTTTTTCTTATACGAGCTATATAAATATAATTTCAAACCGTATGCACTCCTACACCATTCACGCGATTGCGACAAAACTTTGACGAGTTGTTATCTATAAACATAACCATTCATTACAACACTTTTAAAATATTCCGTTTTGGGCCGTTGACCCAAATTCTTATTTTTTCTTATATGAGCTTTGTAAAAAATAATTTTCTATGCGCTCCTATACCATTTTTCAGAATGCGATAAAAATTTAGTGAGATGTTGTTCTATCGCCCACAAAGGGTCTTCAATTACTACAACCGTTTTAAAATATTCAGTGTTGAGTCAGGGGCCCTATGTTTGTTTCTTACAAAATGAGCTATATAAATATAATTTCAAACCGCATGCGCTCCTACATCATTCAAACGCTTGCGATAAAATTGAGGTGAGTTGTTGTCCATAAGCCAGAGCATTTTTCTAAGCCATTATAACTCTACTAAAATATTCCGTTTTTTTGGCAATCGCCCCAAATTCGTGTTTTTTTTTCCTTACATTAGGAGCTTTATAAAAAATAATTTCCGTATGCGCTCCTCTACATTATTACAATGCGATAAAATTTTAGAGAGATATTGTGCGCGCGCCCGCCCGCAAAGGTTTCTAAAATGATTGCAACCATTTTAAAATACTCCGTTTTTAGCCTATGTTCGTTTTTTCTATATAAGCTATACAACTATAATTTTAAGCTATACAAACAGAGCTAAAGCATGAATGGATAGCTTTTTAATCAAATACAAATAGTGATATTAAATTGAGTGTGTGACATATTAAGTAGGTTTCTGAAGTAATACAACAATTCTACAATATTCCATTTGTGGAGGGGGGTTCTAAATTCGTTTTCCACACTTCTATTATCTATATAATTATAGTATGCATTTCTATACCATTCATTCGATTGTGATCAAACTGGGTCAAGTGAAATGCGCACTACCGAAAATGTTTCTAAATTAGAAAAAAACATTTTACAATATTCCGTTTGGGCCAGTGACCCTAATTTCATATTTTCTTCTAAGAGCTTTGTAACTATAATTTCAAACAGAGCTATTGCATGTGTGGAAGTAGCTGAATCCACCGGCAAATTTTTCAAATTTAGTACATCCATTGTACAATATTCCAATTAGGGCTGGGGACCCTAAATTCAATTTATTTTTTAAAATGAGCTTCATCAATATAATTTATAACGAAGATATCAACACTACCGCCCTTGAACAAATGACACATTTGTAGTAAAGCAGAGAAAACACTTTTTTATTTTTTAGTGTAGAGAGTATTTTTGTTATTTGTATAAATAAGCTTGAATTTTGTGACGCATTTTAGAATCGGAAATGACATCGAAATCGCGTTTTTTTTTTCAACTAAGAGTATTTCTTGAATAGAGTCTTATAATTTCGGAGTTGTTTTGTGTTATGTAAATACATTTTACACCAATCGATGGTTTCTCAAGTAATTAAATAACACACTTGACAGCGTAGATATTGAACTATGGTAATTTTTTACCGCTGGAATTTACGATTTATAAATTAATGAGAAACTATACAACTGGAAATCTCGCGCCAACAATGAACGTACCTATTGTGCGAGGTTTTCATGTAAAAAGATGGGATATCCTAAGGTGTGAGAATTACATTCACCATCAAAACCATTATCATTGTTGGTATCAGGTGACAATAGCCAATCGAAACATTTCTTGGCAAACATACGCAAATGCAATTCATGTTTCCAAATGACATCGTTCGGTGCAACAAATATCGTGCGCGAGAATTACATGCCAACATGTTACGCACTGACTTGTATTGGGAGAAAGTAATCTCCTATTTTAATTTTAATTGGCTCGTTGTAAACAGTGCCTAACAAAGGACGATACCATATAATCAACAATATTAAAGATACGACCCAAAACAGTTACTAGTTACAATTAATTAAGATTTATTATGTCTTAAGATAATTACAAAATAAAATAAAATAAAATTACAATCTTCAACTTACAGTATGGCAGATGTCGTACCGGTACACAGTTAATACAATTAGAAATAATGATGCCAATAAATAATACGAAATAAACACATATAAGTAGGAGCACACAAATACACAAAGAATAAAACACGCCTCGTAATGTTAAGAGAATCTATAAGAAAATCTCCGACCCTCGTCCGTGCCTGTCAATCCCTTATATAGGTGGGTCTACCGACGCCCAAGCCCTGCCTTCGAGACATTTCGAGAAAAATCCCAATCATTCTACCAAATACTATTTGGAACAGATTAATTATTTTTATTCGTTGGCGGCGTCAACAAGTTACTTCAAAGGCCTAAGCCACACCCCTTTGTGAACACAGCGTCTCATGCGGGGTCAATCAGAGGGCACGCACGAGAAAAATTGTGTAAACAAGCTCTCTGTAACACCTCCCCTCTTAAAAGAAAAAAAATTCATTGTTCAAAAATGGAATTCTTTTTCCATTAAAATTGAAGAAAGTACATTTCTTACTCTCAAAATATTAGACAAAAAGCTTCTTAACAGCTTATAAACAATAACATAAGTGAAAATTAATTTCTGGACAAAGTATCTGCAATGACATTATCTTTGCCTTTAATGTGTTTGATGTCCAAATTATATTCTTGTAAAAATAGGCTCCATCTTAACAATCTTTGATTTTTGGAGACCATCTTATTCAAAAATGTTAAAGGATTGTGATCAGTAAAAACAAGTACTGAATGTAAAGAACAACTGACATAAAAATCAAATTGTTGGAGAGCAAGAATTAAACCTAAACATTCCTTTTCTACAGTGGAATAGTTTTTCTGATGTGAGTTGAATTTCTTTGAGAAATAAGAGACAGGATGATCTACATTGTGGTCATCTTCTTGAAAAAGAACTGCACCAATGCCAACATCACTGGCATCTACAGCTAATTTAAACTGTTTGTTAAAGTCTGGTGCAATGAGAACAGGAGCATTAGCAAGTATATTTTTAATGTTTTCGAATGCTTCCTGACAAGCATCTGACCAATGAAATTTTGCATTTTTCTTTAACATATTACTTAAAGGAGAGGCAATAACTGAGAAATTTTTGCAAAATTTTCTATAATAACCTGCCATTCCCAAAAATCTCATTAACTGTTTTCTAGTAGTGGGTGGTGGAAGTGATACAATAGCATTTATCTTCGGTTGAACAGGCTTTACATGACCTTGACCCACTATGTGACCTAAATATTCCACAGTTGCATGACAAAATTCACATTTATTTAAATTTACAGTTACATTTGCCTGCAAAAAATTTTTAAACAGAGATCTTAATTGGTTTACATGAGATGAAAAATCTTGACTGTAAATAATTACATCATCAATATAGGCGCTGCAATTTTCCTGGTCAGCAATAATGTTATTTACAAGACGTTGGAATGTAGCTGGGGCATTTTTCATTCCAAACGGCATTACTTTATATTGGTATAAACCATCTGGAGTACAAAAAGCAGAGATTTCTT